CGGAGCTCTGGGTTTTGCTGTTTGTTCTTTTGTGGGATTGGTGGCACACTGAGCGGGCAGGAAAGAACCAAAAATCTGAGAATCAAACCTCCAAATATATACTTGTACTCTCTAATACACACACACACACACACACACACACACACACACACACACATACATCTACTCACACACACATTCACTCACACACACACTCAAACACACTCACACATTCACTCACACACACACACAGTTTGGGTTTCAGTTCAGCCCCTGCCGTTTGAATCTGCCATGACTGGATTCTTTAATGGCAAAGAAGTGCAGTGTCTGATAAAACCACAGATCTGTGGACTTGGGACTGAAACACAATCCCAGTGGAACTGGCCATCATTTTATCAACTTCGCCTTTGACTGGTTTCTCAGAGGTATATGTGTATGGGAATTTGTGGTAGAATGTGATAGCTATAATGAAAGGAAACAAAAACACATGAGAGTAAAATGAAATGCTGGTAGCTTCTGTAAACCCTTCGGAAAATGTTGTAGAAAATTGAGGCTCCCCCAAAGCATCATAATCATAGTGTCAAAAAAAATAAAACAACCCACTGCCGTAGAGTCAATTCCGACCCACAGCGATTCTATAGGGCAGAGTAGGACCGCCCCATAGGGTTTCCAAGGCTGTAATCTTTACGGAAGCAGACTGCTGCATCTATTTCCCATGGAGCGGCTGGTGGGTTTGAACCACCGATCTTTTGGTTCACAGCCGAGTGCTTTAACCACTGTGCCACCAGGGCTCCCTAGCTCAAGATAGTCTTCCTCATTAACCACTTTATGCTAATTTATCTTATAAAGCCAAGTGGTTAGAGGGAAGCATGTTTTTTTTTTTTTCTTGGGCAGTGGGGAGATCTTTATACAAATTTAAACTTACCACACAAAAAAGCCCCTGTATCTTTTAATGTAACACTCCTGCGCTAGGACAATTTCTGGTTTCATATGCAGGACCCACCTGTAATATTTATGTGACTCAGACACACAGACAGACGAACGGACATGACAGAGATCACCTTGCACGTACCTCTCTGCAGTCCAGGTTAAGGTTTTGGCCTCCAATTTCCAATTTCAGAATTTCTATCTGGTAATACCACTCCTCCTTAATAGGTGTATACCAGATGTCTCCCTTGTACAAACTTGGTTCAATTCCACCCAAGACCTGGGAAGAAAAAGATTGACAGGCATAAGAGAGAAAAATATACAGACCTATCAGCAGGCTACACGAGAAGCATGTACTCATAAAATGAAATGCCACAGCAACTGGTAATTTTACTTGATGCTGTGAAACAAATATATATGCTTTAAAATTAAACAAGGAACATTTTGGGGCCATGTACCCAAAGGTCAAACAATATTATGCCCTGGCATAAACGTGATCCTTTGGTGGTTTCTTTTATTTAAAGAAAGTCCATATGATTCCACCTTTGCAATACTGTGATACCCCCGCACGGAATGTATAAAAATAGTTAACCGAGCAGATTGATAGTAATTTAGTTCTTTAGATGTCAGAGAAGAGGAAAGCAGAACGAAACAGCTTCCCTAATCAAAACTTCATTTTGCAAAACCATTTACATTACCCCCTAAACCCGAAGCTACC